GGGTCGAGATTAGATTCCAAAGCAAACTACGTTGCGACGCGTACAGGTCCTCTAGATATACGTAATTAGACCGTTACAATAATCCTCGAAATTTTCTAGGATATCAACTTCACTTTGTCTTTCGTACCGTCTTACATCACTTTGAATTTGAAAGCATCCATCGACGTCTCGGCGTTCTCCCAAGATATCAGTAATCTTCCAACGGTTATACTAACGGTAATTATTCGTAATTTTTAGCTAGGTCGTCGAGATTCTTCTTTATTTGTATATAGACCGAGGATCCAGCGTGTCGTTGGATCCACTGCAGCCACTGTCGCGACAGATCGTGAATCCTCCCATTCTTTCGGGCGGGATTCGCCTAAACTGAGTGCCGGTACTCGTCTTCCGAGTCTCTGCACCGGAATCTTAATCCACGTTCGTGGCCTTGACGGTCCGCCTGCGTCGTTCTATAAATCTTCCACCCGCAAGGTCGAAAATACGTTACACGTTCCAGGAGTTCAACTGGTTCAACGACTCGCTCGATTTCTCAGCGACTCCTATGGATCTGGCGCACGAAAACGTCAAATGACGTGTCATTCATCCTTTAACCCACCTATCGTGTGTATATAGACATCTACAGGTCTTTGTCTCAGCGAATAATCGTGACGGATGTTCGATTCCTCTCGGTTATCGATCGCTACGAACAGAATAGGTTGGATTCAATCTTGTCAATCTTGGGAAGATAAATACTACTTCCGGCAAGAATAATTGTAAGTTTCCCTCGTCCGGGAGCTGTCTGTTTGAAAAGTGCTTTGTGCAGTACTTGGATAACAGAGGTAGATGAAATACTTCACTTCCAGTTTTTCTTCTTGGCGTTCGATCACTGTGAAGAGAATAACGCTAATTGATGGACGTGGGTTGTCGAAATGACGCGAAGGTAAAGAAGACCTTCCTCTTCCAGGAACAATATTCGTGGGTTTTTCCTCGTTTGGAAGTTGTCAATTTAAAAAGGGACGTGTACAGTTCTCGGATAGTAGAGGAAGATGGTTACTGCACTTTCGGTCCTTTTTAGATTTTGGTCACTGAAGCAAAACGCTAGTCGATTGACGTAGTTCAGTTATAATAAATCACTTGTCACTCTTCCGGAGTTCCACTTCGAGGAAGTATATACTTTGTTTTTCTTCGTGTCGTGGCTGTCAATTTAAAAATTCGAGCACTCTTTAATCGATAAAAGAAAAAGAGATTCCTTTACTTCCAGATGTTCATTTTTGTTTTCTATCCAACTGATTCAATTCACACGTTCTCGCGATATTAAAAATTGATTTCTAATACTCGTTCGGTTTTCAATGGCGACGATCTCAAGAATCGTCGAGTCTCGATCGAGATTTTCGTTCGAGGTTGGCCGCAAAGCCGGGGGACGCGGTTGAAAGCGAAATCAGAGCGTCGCGCGACGGAAACGACGTCGGATAAACTGGAAGCACGATCCACCGCGAAGAACGCGTTTGCCGCCAGACGTGTGGCGTCGCATGCGCTTTGAAAACTCCCTCGGCGCGGTGTCGTCGACGCTTGGCGTCCCCGGCGCCGACCACCGCTCATTCATGAGGCCTGTCCATTGCCAGACTACACAGTACGATAAGTAACCAGACGAAATTTCTGTTACAAATGGTTTCGATATGGCTCCGTCACTTTTCCACGTGGATTTGGTGATTGAATTAATAGTGACTGATGTGGTTCATTTAAAAGGGAGGTAGCTATCTTGAATGCGTAAAAACCATCGCTATTCTGTGGCTATAATTAAATTTTTTGATTAATTTTCATAATTTTCCAGCTCGTACATATCCTTGGTTTGTCTTGAAGGAAATCCAATTTCATTCTTTCCTTCTCTGTGATGGAATCTTTCCCTTCGCTTTGATGGGGAAGAAGGTTGTGTGCTACTCGGTAGTCTGCGTTGATCGTTGTACCATGAAGAAAATCAACATACTTTTTCCAACCCCAAAAGGATGCTGCCAGAACCTTTCCAGCCGAGCGTGTTGCGTCTGACATCCACCTCCTTTTTTCCATGGGGCAGAATTACATCATTACCCTAATGCGAGGGGAAAATAACTATTACGTCAATTATTTCATTATTTTTAATTTACTTTTTTGGGATTATTCTTTAGAGAAACATTACAGAAAATTGGGAATTTCATTCTTCTTGTGTCTCGAGCCTGCAACGTTATTTATCCCTACCTGAATTTTTACCGCGGTCTTTGAGAAAATATGGGAGCATGGTGAACACGAACCGCGTCGAAACAATTTATCTAAATCAAAATTAATAAACCTAGCGTTGGATTACCGCCAGAACGTGTGCGCATTCCACCTAATGCGAAGCATGACGCCTCTGCTAACGATCTGGCTTCTCAGGCGCGACGTTAAACATCAAGGATGAGGGACATTTTTCAAGGACGACAGGGATGGAACTTTACCTTGCTATCTCATAACATTTCAGGCTTTCTTTTTTATGCTTCTACATAAATTAACGACGCAGGCGGTAGAGAGAAATGGAGAAGAAGAATGTTTCTGTTCGCAAGTTTAAAATATTTATATAAGAAAGATTGAAAATGATCTTGCAAATGGTTTGAAAAGAACACAATGAATGTTTGTTTAAGTGTAAGGAAGGAAAATACTTAATATCATGTAATGTACTCGTCGACATCTCTAACCGGAGGTCCTTAGAGTCCTGCGAATGGCAAGGAACGTGCTTGGCCGTTTGCATGTACAAGAATGCAAGCATATCATTTTACATGCTGCTTGAGTACACCTCCAGGAGTTTACTATGCCCCGGAAACGATATGTATGTATATAACGTCGTACGTTTTGTTATTGGTGAATCTAGAACGCAGTTCTGGGAAGTTTCTTCTAAATTAAATTTTCCTTTGTGGAAATGGATCTTTCAAATTGAATTCTTCATCGAGAAATACTGGTGGCCATCTGGCGAGCTCATGACTCCTCGAGAAAATTGATATATACGTGCCAGAAATAAGAATCAGCCACATTTCTTAAATTTAACTTCCATTATACATTTGACGATAACAGTTGCGTTGATACGATACTTTGTTCTCACGGTACGTCACTTTCACCCTTGCGAGATTTAGCACTCCAGCCTGACGCAATTTGGAGACCTGACGCAATCCATTCAGTGTGTACGTCCCCAAAATTTTTCTTTGTCGAAGTCGGACAATAGCGTCGAAACTAATCAAACTGAATCAAAGGGTGTTGCGCAACAACCTTACTCTTTCACCCAGCAACCGTCGACGAATCCTTACGCTTCTATGACTCTGTATCAATAAAATGATACTTATGTAAACTTTTCTAATAAAATGTTCAAAATTGCATTTACCTTGAACAAATAAAGTATCGTTGCGTTGCCTTTATGTAACGATAATGTTGCCAGAGTAATTAGCATCTGTTGCTTGTCGTTCTTTATTTAGTAACTACAGTTTTCACACGAACGTGGAAAACTTTCGACCATATTTTGGTACCTATGCAAATGGAACTTTATTGTGCACGTTTCATTGAAGTAGGGTTTCAGGTCTTGTTAGATAGAATTGTAACCTTAAACGAAGTAATTACGTATGTATAAATAAAAGGTTAATTTATTTTGAACGTTGAAGGGCGCTGGAAACGTTTGAACAGCAATGTAGACATTGCAAAATTGAAATGGAAAACCATGTTTATTATCAATAAAGCGACAAACAGAAGCTTTTATTATTCAGACAAGAATATTACGATGTCGAACATTATTTGTCTTCTCGTTGCGAAAAATATATGTATTGTACGACCAATTGCAATTTATATAATTGATTTCACACTCGTAAAATATAATACAATAAAGAGAAACGAGGTATGAAAATTGTGTATTGATATTTCTTTACTGCTTCAGGCAGAGACCACCCCTACTACTCTAGTTAGATGTGATTTTAATTAATATTCGAGTCAGAATTGGTTTATATCAAGTGAAATTAATTTAGTACATGTTATATTCAAAATACAATAAATATTATTTGAAATATTAATATGAAGAAATGAAGAAATTGAAATTACGTATGCGTGCCGCAAACGTGTGAGATTTGCATTGAATTGCGTAGCCTTAGCTACGCCATTTCTCGTCCCGTCTCGACAAGATGAACGCGAAGATCTTTTTTTTATTGAACATTAAAGTCTGCCCAAGTGATAAAGTCTTCGAAATAAATGCAAACCCTCTGGTTACGATTATGAATCAAGAAATTTTTACTCATTCTCGGAAGCATAAAAAAAAATGATTACGTTCATATTGTTTTAATTATAATATAAATTCCCAGATTTAATACAGTGGTGTCAATTTCATACAATGGCGCAGGAATGCATTCACTTGTCTTTATTAAACGTAATATTGGCAATACTAAAATGTAAATGATAATATTGAAAGAGTAAGAATGAAATATTGAAATCAACGTAACATTAATCCACGAAGCTTAAAGCTGATGGTTGAATAGACCAAAGGTCGGGAAAAAAGAGAAAATTGATCGTTACTCGCTGAATTCAGCTTATTACAATTGCAATTGCATAACAAGTGAAAGAGCGTGGTTCAACGAAAAAGCTGATTCACAATTAAACTCATATATTTGTTAAAGTTACTTTGTTCTTTAACGATAGCGCTTCAGCTGCATCTCGTTGTTTAAACACATCATGCATATTCTCGATAAAATTATATTTCTCTGAGGACGTGTATAAATTACAACATAATTACCAATATTATTATTCATATTTGTTCAAATTCCCTCGTGGTTAATATTCCAGCGATATTAATGAATGGGAAAATTATACCTACTAGGAGTAAAATAAACCAAGAAGACGATCTACAAAAAAAGACCACATAGTTTTATTTAGTTTTAGAAGTGCAATCGCACTTTAAATATAGCGAAGTGTATAATAGTAATCTATACTCCATTTCTTTAAAAGCGACGTTTATATTCTATCTGAGATATTTTTATTTCCTACAGTGCTATCAAGTGCTGAAAGAAGCCTCGACGAAATTGAAAGGTAAGCTACAGCCCAGCGGAAGGCCGTTCACGCCCGTGATCACGCACGTGTTAAATCCAAAATCGATTACTATGGGGCAGCTGTACGGGGAATACGATCTGAATACGCGAGAATGGTGAGCGAATTTTTGAACTAACGTGAAACTAGCCTTTCTGCGATTTTCTATGGAACTCTGTTCGTTTCTTATTTTTAAAACGTCACCAGCATCTGGAATGGAATTCGAATTAAACTACGTAGGTATCGGGGACGAAGGAATCTTGCCCTTCGAGGAAATAATTCACACGTTTAGCAGGAATTAGAGCCTATGAACATACTGACACTGTACATGATGCATAAATCACAGCACTAAAATGGAAACCATGTTCTATCGATAGTGTATATTCGCAAGGAAAGCATCAATCATTTTGCTTCCATAGTAGATCGTGCAATCAGATCTTGCGGAGGCTTTCTCGACCTACTTTCTTTCAATTAGTATTGTTACTGGCTTTCAAATGTGCATACCATGTAGTTTCATAGATTCACCGGAAGGTTTGAAAACACGCTGTTATTGATGATGGTCCTGACACCTTTAATAAAGCGAAGGAGTACGCTAGGGGTTGATGAGGACCTTAGATTACATCTCCAGAATTTAACTCTAGGAACACAGTCGTGTCTTATGAATTACACAATAAACTCTCCAGATTTGTCACTTAAAAATAAAATAATTAAAGATATGTTGTCACTTCCCACATGGTTTAGCTGATGGATTAGCCACTCAGGCTGTCCGAGCAAACTTCTCCTTAGACGTGAGCTAAGATTGAATATAACACACAGAAACCACAATACCCAATTCTATTGTACTCTAGACTTTTGTTCTGCCCTCCAGGACCGATGGCATTTTCTCAACCCTGCTGAGGGCTGGAATAGCCATGGACGATGACAACAAGCGCTGGTACGTGTTCGATGGTCCAGTCGACGCTCTTTGGATCGAAAACATGAACACGGTGCTGGACGACAACAAAAAGCTCTGTCTGACCTCTGGGGAGATAATGAAAATTCTACCAACGATGACGATGATGTTCGAAGTCGCTGATCTGAGGGTGGCCTCGCCAGCCACTGTGTCAAGGTATAGCGCTCAAGTTCAAGTGGGAGGAAATGGCTGTGGGCCATAAAACGGTAGTATATTAACACTATATTCGTGGGAGACGTAAAAATACGTCTCATAGACTGCGCACCATCTGCCAGCGACGTAAAACGTAGTCTTTCGCTTACGTTTCATGGGCGGTTACTCATAGCCCTGGAAAGCTTATATTCTTTTAGGGGAATGTACCTCTCATTCGTCCTAATCCTTTCTGGACCGATGACTCCATATGGCATCACTGACTTGGAGGTTCATAATTTTATGTATAAATTTCGCAATGGTTTCATTTCGTATCACTGTTCGACGGGTTGATTCTAAAGAGGATAATCTCTTGAATTAAATTTGATCAGTTGAGTGAAGGTACACTCACGGTTTGCAATTTTATCGTTCGTTCACTCTAAATGGCACTCCATTATTTAATTAGAATGCTGAAATTTTCAATGCTAATAGCATCAGTGAGGCGTCCATTATTGTCATTTAATTAAAACATGGAATTTAGTATACAGACAAGAAGAAGGGAAAGAATTTCTTAAACGTTTAGGAAGCTTGAGTAATATTTAACAACATAATGACGTTACTATAATTAGTACAAAGGACGAATTATTATTTAGAAAGGGTATTTTCCATCAGTTTCTGATAAATTAACAGTTCCATAAAATTCGTTTTATTTCGTTTTATTATTTAAGCGAGAGATTTACTTTAGAGAAAACCTGTTAAATATTTTCCTCCCACGATACTTTGTTCGAAAGTAATTATACAAATCTAAATTTTCGAAATTTCTCGAACATTTCAAACTGTTCAAACTTTGTCGCTGCAAGGAATCCAACTGTGACGGAATGGTATGGTTAAATTCATCTTATATTGAGATATCATTAATGATCCACGGTAAGATGTTTCGAAGTATGTTTCAATTCTGCACGATGTTTTTCATCCCCTTCCGCGAGATACAGCCGTTATCGGAAGTCAAAGCCAAGCACGAAATAAATTCGAGTTTCGTATAATCGAATCGCCTCGAACTGCTGTTCGCATCAATCATCGATGGCTATAAATAAAATATGAAACGTGTACGGCTGAAAATAAGTGAACACATCCGGCCATAATAAATGGCCATGATCGAAGGAAATGCTTAACCTTCAAGCTTGAGATGCTCCGAGATTTTATTTAAAAATTTATATGTAGGAAAAAATGAAATTTATTTTTCCTAAACAAACAATTAATTAACTCTATGCAGTTTTGTAACATAAGTTTTTCTTTAAAAAGAGGAATTCAAATTCATTTAGTAGAATCGATCGCCATGAAACAGTGAGTTGATGATAGATAGCGTGCAAAAGCTAAACAGTGCTCTGCAGTATTAACTAAGAAATTAATTGCATGCATTTTATCTCATCCCCTCAGATGCGGGATGGTGTACTTGGAACCGGAGGGTCTGGGCCTCGAACCGATTATTAATTGCTGGCTGAAATCACTGCCACGAGTGAGTACTTTATCAATCGATGCTAGCTAATCCTGGCGTTAAAGACTCTGAAAAATAGCAGCAACTAAATTTATACTGTACCTCTACTCAATACTCTACTCTGTTAATAGCAACCACATTACTCTTCCAATTTGAATTATTTAGAATTTTCATAGTAGTATTTTCGAATAATCCAATTCCAAGGGCATTCACCTTATCAAGCATAACGATTCTAATTCCCTGCCCGCCTCATCGATTTTCTAATTTTAAGACCCAAGTTTTGCACGTACATTCGGAGTAAATGCAATTATAGTTTCGTTAAACTCTGAAGGCGTTGCACTCCGTTTCTAATTCACTTACAGGTTAATTGCATTGTCCCTCCAAAGGAAGAACGTTCCATCACGCCCAAAGAGTTACTTCTCTAAATAGATTATTGTTTCGTCATTTTTCATTTTCCAGCGTCGCTCAGTTTTGATTAATTTAGATATATTAGGACACAGAATTTTAATTAAAACGCATTATTTACGAAGGATTCGATTTCCCTTAGTTGAAGCATTCATCTTCCACAGAATTATTCATTAAATCGAATCGTAAGAGATCTTCCTGGTAGAATTAGGTGTAGCATTTTGGATAATTAATCGCGCGAGGAATCGATGTGGTTTAATTATTTACGAGGGATGAAATTATCTCTCTAACGAAGAGAATTTACGTGGAAAAATGTTCAATTGCAGAACATGGCTGATTACGTGGACAGAATCGCTGAACTGACGAGTCACTATCTACTTCCTGGTTTGAAGATTCTGCGCAGCAACTTGAGAGAAATTGTGGGCACCGTGGATTCTGGAATTGTCCAGTCTTACATAAATTTGATGAACTTCCGTATCGGGCCGATGGCTGGTCGCGATGGGAAACCACCCCCAGCAGCTCCTTTTCAAAATCTTATTCGTAAGACACTTTTTTGTATAAATTTTCAAGATCAAGGATATTTCTAATTCACATATTCTAAAGGTCTCTTCTCGTGTCAAAGTCACCCCACAATAATTTCATTCTCCAAGTTTCGCACTACATCAAATTCAAATTCGAATCCGTCCATTGATCGTTTTTAGCCGATTTGCTCTCGCCCTGGGCAGCTTTCGCGGCCGTTTGGAGCGTGGGTGCAAGCAGCGACTACAACAGTCGTCGTATGTTCAGCGAATGGATCAGAAACGTCCAGAATATTCATCAACACGACCTGCCGTTTCCCGAGCATGGCTTGGTGTTCGATTACAGGTGATCAAAGCGTTGAACAACGCGATGCAGTTGCGTCGTCCTTTGTTCTGATAGTCTTGAATGTTCATCTGTTTAGACTGCACGACGGTGGTTTCACCGATATGATCGATAGTCAGGATCCCGTACCGCCCAGGTGGTACAATTGGTTAGACGATATCTCGCCGATCACGATTACTCCAGAGACGAAGTACGCAGGTAAATTTTCCAATGTAATCGATCGCGAGTGTGAAGGTAGCTGGATTAATTGATGTAGGAAAGGTCTGTAGGTGTACAAAACGTACAGTTTATAAAATGTTTCTTCCTATTTTTGATAATATTTATATATAATCGAGAAATTTTCAGAAATTTCCGTTCATTAAACTTCCCTTGATCCGAAATAATTTAGAAAGGATATTTATACACTGCTCGAGGTAACGACTAGAATGACATTACAGACTCTGCGGAGGCTGCATTATTTAGCAGCTCATCCTACATTGACCCATCTAAAACGTCCTCTTTCCATTATGTATTTAAACGCCGAATCAACGTACACCACATGGTCTAACTGCAATGTCGTGTTACTTATAAATAGCTTGGGAATTCACTGATTTAGAAAAGGGTAAATTGAGTGGCAGTGGATATGAATAACGTTTACTGTTACATATACATAAGTTCTACACCTAATATTGCAACGAAAGAGTTTATCGTTCATGGTAGACATCGAGGTACCTACAATGGACAGTGTAAGAAGCGCGTCTTTGCTGGGTTATTTGCTGATCAACGACTCGAACGTGCTGTGCGTCGGACCCACCGGAAGCGGAAAGACTTTAACCGTAGCTGGGAAGCTCTCCCGGAACATGCCTAAGAAATTTATTTGCGATTTTATCACGTTTTCCGCGCGAACTACTGCCAATCAGACCCAGGTGCGCCATAAAACTCGTTATACAAACATCCAATATCCAGAGAATAACCGTTTAACCCATCATGCATTCCATTCGCGAAATCTGTCGAGAGTATTTGCAAGGCAAATGTACACGTTGATTAAAAATTTCATTTTTTTTTTATTCGATAACGAAATAAAAGTGTAAATTTTACAGTCTGATTTAATATATAACTTTTTCACATATTTGTAATGTACTTTAAGAACGCAAGTAATTCAACGTTCAATGCTACATGTGTTTTTGGTAATTTGATAAACTCTTGTAAAGAATGTTTTACAAGCAAAGAGAGAACAAAGAGTTCCCCTAGGACTGTAAGTGCCTGTCGGATGGGCTACTTTAAGGGCGAGAAAGTTAAATTGTTTACGGTTTTTTGAAAAAGGATTTGATCGATGAAAAGTTAACCAAGAGACGAAGAGACGTTTACGGGCCACCGCTCTTAAGGAAACAAGTTTTCTTCGTCGACGACTTGAACATGCCTGCTCTCGATACGTACGGTGCTCAGCCGCCTATTGAGTTGATTCGGCAGTTTATGGATTTTCAAGGTAAATGTATTCTTTACGATTTTCAACTGTTTCCATTACACATGTCAGAACATGTAAAATATTCGCGCAACTGTGAAATATTTTACTCGTTATTTTTAACGACTTTGAATGAAAGTATACGCGTAAATACTTGATAAAAACATTATCATAATCGAATCTAAAGTGACCAGGCTAGCAGCGTTCAAGGGACGATCGCAATCATGTGTTGGTGTTCGATTAACGCTCACTGAAGATAAATGGTACTTTTAATAAAGGAATACTATAGAATAGAAGAGTAAATGAAATGAACGACGAACGTTTCAGGTTGGTACGACTTGGAGGAGATCGGGTCGTTCAGACGAATCGAGGACGTAAATTTTGTGGGCGCGATGGGACCACCAGGAGGCGGTAGGAACCCAATAACCGCCAGACTGTTGCGACATTTCCATTTCATTGCGTTCCCGGAAATGGAGGACGACGCCAAGGTAATTCATGAGCCATTCTTTGATCGATTAACCGACTACCGACTTACTACCCCGAGGAAGTCGTTAGTAACGATCGAGAGGCAGCAGACAGTTTAACCATCAAATGTCAGGATGTAACCATCGTTATTAATTTACTATACGACGACGTATCGACGAACGATCCGTCAAAAATAAATTTTCAAAAGTTTCCCATACACGGGGCGTCGCACGCCTAATGGGTTGTGCGAAAGAAAAAGAAGGAGAAACGAGAATAATTTATCTTCGTCTCGTGGACCATGTCAGAGCTTTGCGTTTAGCAATCACGGTCTAAAATCTCTCAAACTACACCACTTCAAACTTTGTTTTTCAACCTTTTGCATCTAAAGTTGGCCTTTCCGATGTACAGTCTGCCATACAAGTCTACGTATCCCCATTCAACTCCAAAATGACTTCCAATTACAACTTGTGGGGTTACTTTGGACACATTTTCGAATTTAAACTTCATCAGGCTGTCGCTCAACATTGGAGTAACAATCGCGTGGTACATAATCGTATAAAAATAATTGAAAAGCAAGAGAGAATGGATTCCTAATGATGAAAACTATCTATTAAATAGTAGAAATTCAGCTCTTCAATTTGAATTTTGTTAGAATCAAATCGAGCGACTTAATTCCAAGTTACGACACTTCACAGTTTCCTACTTAATAGTAATATGTAGTATAACAAAGTCATCTTTGGTTAACGTTAGCAGGTGTTAACTCTTTTGTATTCACGAATACAAATTTTAGTAACAGTTTTACAATTCAATACCCATTGTCCACGCGTCGCAATTTGTGGAGTGCACAAAATCTTTTACTGCCGACTGTACAAAAAGACTGATCTCGGGAATGCTCTAGTCTGCTTCGCGTTCAACTATTTACAGTCGCTACTTCGCGCGAAGAAACATCCACATGGTGAAGTGTGTTGGAATAAGTTCACCGAGGCGCCGACAATAAAGCTGGACAATATCCCTTCGCTGGCTCGGAGGGTGTGACGTTTTATTATCTTTTTACGACGTGCACGAAATCTCTTGTTACGCTTTTTGCGGTCGACAGCCTGAGATAAATTCGTTTATCTCTCGACGACAGAGGTCCTTATGTGATGTTGAATTTTAAGTCACGTGTATATTATATTAGAAGAAACATATCATATAATCATCATCCAGAGCGAAATGATTTCTAGAATACCTTCGTTTGGTTACAATTCTAACTGTGCGTTATTTTATTAAACAGAGTTCTCTATAATTCTCGGTAGCCATCATCCCGATGATTCTCTGCACGATGGCTCCCATTAAGCGTCTGGTCGACTTCTCGTAAAAACTTGTACGCTGTTCTCCTCGTAAGTGACTAATTTAGTTAGAAAATTCCATTCGTGGAGGATCAAAGAAACAGGAATTGTTCGTCGGTTTCTCGAAGACGAAAGGACTCCCAAGGCAAGTTCCAGAGCGGTGTTGCTCTCGCTTTCCAGTTTTATTCCATCGAGTCGTCAATCCACGCCCACGTGGAATAATTGGCGCTCCTGAAAAAGACTGACAGTGCCGATCGTGGCCAATGTTTGTCCTCCTACCCTCTCGCGGTGTGCAATTAGGTCTCGTAAATCGTGTCCGACGCCGAGCCATAATTTATCTTAATCAGCTGCTCGACCAATAACAAGGGACCGTAAATACCCCTGCGTAGCCACCGTAGAGGGAATCTCTTTTTCACCCCCCGTGCACGCTTTAAAGGGTTCGGGGCAAGGTCGATCGGAGGGCGGGCGACCGTTTAAGCCTTGGGAACTTGCGCCCGTGACGACTCGTGCGAGTATGCGAATGTACGCGGCCCTTAGCTGGAATTTTTCCTCCCCATTTCTCGAGAAATTCAAATTACGGAATGTTTCAACGTCCGTGGAACCAAGCAGGAGACATTTTCTACGCGGGAACGCGCGCCTCGTCGAGCAGAAAACACAGAGGAAATGGAAACACGAGATGTTCGGAAAGCGAGGCACCGATGACATACACGGGGTATCTTGGGAACCGTGGTACAAAATCTACGATGGTTCATCGCGCGGGAGCGAATGATCTTAAGAAAAATGGATGCTGAAGTTTCCGTTTTTCTTTCACGACCCTACTTGGTTCGAAGACGGCCACGCTAGGGGTTGGAAATCGTATCTCGAAAGGCTTTGGTGTAAGAAGTTCAACTGCCTGCGAATTATTCGGACTGAGACTTTAAACAGATCTTAAATTCGATGAATTCATACGTATAAGGCTGCACAATTTAATCTCTCTGACGTGAAATACGAACACACACCAGTCGCCATTCTTTTTCTTTTACTTGGAGCTCTTGTCATTCCATGCAAAATCTCGTGCATTCTTGGAAATAAATGTGACGCGCATACTTGTGATTAAACATGCATTCCAGTTTATAACGCAGATGAAAATTGCAGTATTATTCGTTAACGAAATAAAGAAATAAATATAGGAAATGGAATTAAGTAAATAAATGAATAAAATGTGAGGTAACAGATCGCTACGATAAATGACACTGTTCTCAAATTGTTGAACTAGTTGAAGAGTATCATGTAAAAGAGCTTAGGGAGTTTATTTAGTTGCAAGAGAGAAGCATGTGTGCTTGTGGTCGGGAAAGATAAAACGAGCGAAACTATGCATTTGGGAAAATGGTGGTTGAGAGCCAGCTGGGAAGGAAAAGACGCGTGAAACTAGACCCGAGAGGTGTAAATAGCGAAAATAGGAGAGACTGGGCGTAATACTTTATTACCTAGTAACACATTCACTCTCCTATCTTTCTTCCTCGTCTCTCTGGGATTGCGTACTTAATTCCTCATTGCTGTCATTTTAACTATGTACGAGGTGTTGCGACAGCGTATCTCGTTATTTAAACAGCTTACGATTACGATTACAATTTCATCAAAATAGTTGTGTACGAAATTTAATAAGCTTCAAGGGTAAAATTTGTACTAAAAGTACTAACTTTTCCAGAAAAAGGATTAATGTTGTATCTTGAAACATTTAAAGGCTAGAATAAACAATTAATAATTTGGTGTTTTATCGTTACGCCAGAGACACATCTTCGGCACAATTTTGCACTCGTGGCTGTCCGTTACGAAGGGTTTTGGACACATGCTGAATACGTTCGTTGACACAACGCTGAATGTGTTCACCACGATAAGCAACGAATTGCTGCCAACCCCTCATAAGTCCCATTACACTTTCAATCTCCGTGATCTCAGCAAAGTGTTTCAAGGGATGCTCATGATGAACCCAACGAAGATCGAGGTTAGTTTCTCGTTTACGAAACGAAAATTAAACGATGAAATAATGAACATCAAAGTGAAAGAATATTGTTTAAAAGTTTACAATTAAATGATAAAAAATGTTGCTTTTTGCAGCATCGTGAAAAGTTGCTGTTGCTTTGGTACCACGAGAATCTGAGGGTGTTCAGCGACCGTTTGATCAACGATACCGATCGTAAATGGTTCGACGATCTCCTGAGAAATATCATCAAGGATACCTTCGAGAGTGATCCTGACATAGTGATCGGAGACGCAGTATTATTTTACGGCGATTTTTGTGGAACGAGCAGGGAATACGAGCAGATAACCGACGGGAAAAAAGCACGTATCTATTTCTCTCCATTGTCACACTTACGTTTTCCATCACGTTTCTGGTATAGCGATTTCTATTGTAGATGGAGAAAATATTGGACGAATTCCTGGAAGATTATAACGCTACGACAACGTCCCCCATGAATCTCGTGCTTTTCCAGGATGCAATAGATCATATCTGCAGGATCAATCGAGTCCTGCGACAGCCACGTGGAAACGCCCTCCTTTTGGGGATGGGGGGATCAGGTAATGCAAAAAAAGTATCGCATATATAGCAATGCAAACAGAGTGAAACCGTTGTTTATGTCTAAACGTGGACCATTCTAAAAATTAGGTCGACAAAGTTTAACGAGGCTCGCTACACACATGCAAGACTACAACTGCTTTCAAATAGAGCTCAGCGGAACTTACACCTCAAACGATTGGCGCGACGACATTAAGAACACGTTGATGAAGGCTGGAGTGCAAAATCAACTTATGGTCTTTTTATTCTCAGACACGCAGGCACGTCAGCCAATCGAATTTCCATACCCGATTCCCTGCCAATCACATTTTATTCGCGGATCCATTTCACCGAATTCGTCCCCTTGGATTGAATTTACCTCAAAGCGGACTTCGCTTACAAATATGCCCTAGAAAATTTGCATTTCAAGTACTTGCCCCAAATGAGTGTGTTTTAAATTCTCATTCGCCTAATGGATGGATCAGCGGGACGGATAATGAAATTACTTTATCCTTTTCCACGTAACAATTGTCTTGATTCGTGGAAATCCTGACGTTTAGTCGTTTCAACGTTATTAAGATGTTTCATAGTTTTTATGGAAAGCACGAGTCTATTCTTGACCTAAATTCTGAATAAAATGGAAATGCATTCGTCAGGAACTAAATTCCACTTACATCGTTCCTTTGTCAGAGCACTGTCCGATTTTGAATAATGCTTCATTACAGATAAAAGACGACTCGATGCTGGAGGATTTGAACAGTATTTTAAATAACGGCGACGTACCGAACATATACAAGGTGGATGAGATGGAGAAAATATTTCATTCCATGCGGGGCGCCGTGCAAGAAGCTGGCCTACAGATCAATAGGAGCAATCTTTTCTCCGCCTACGTGAAGACGGTCAGAAATAATTTGCATGTCGTCATCACTATGAGGTACAACCGTATATTTAACTTCAGGGGCACAAGAATACGTCTATTTATTTATATAATACCTTACAGATCCTCTTTAGAATTGCAACATTTAGGTTAACCTACCACGAGATCCTCATAATTAATTAGTGTCTGATTCAGATCTCCACTGGTCCGTAATGAATTGAATCATTCGAGCAATTTGATTTCATATCTAACGGCTATTAACGTACAGCCCCATTATCAAATTGGCTTCCAATTGTCTCGACGCGACCCAAGTTAACGAAAGATTTTTGTAAACTCGCAGCCCCATCGGAGAACTTTTCCGTTCTCGCATCCGACAGTTTCCAGCATTGGTGAACTGCTGCACAATCGATTGGTTTTGTCCCTGGCCAGAAGCAGCGCTTCAGGTTTGTAGCGTAATTTACCGTCCCTTATGGCTACGTTGCCGCATTATCACGTATGCGAGTAATGCTCTACGAGACTGTCTATTCAATCGTGAATAGATTAGGTACGCGATGCACGTGTTAATAGGTGTTTGTCCGCTATCACGTGGGCTTGTCAACCATAATCGTTGTTATGGAAAACACCATTTTTCCAAATTAAACTTTCCTAATTTCGATCGATATCCGAAGAAACGGCAAGGGTGGAGGAAATCGTTGTCCCGATAAACCGCCTTTGTACAGCAACCATAAAGGCCTTTATTGTGTAACGTCTACTGATATTTTGCAACGATATCACTTTCACGAGTCCACAAGAGGCTAGCATTTCAAAAACGATCCATATTGAAAAGGGATTTTAGGTCTTTGATAACTCCTGCGTCGCATGCCGCGCATACGACAGCATGGCTAGTTCTATTGCATGGATCAAGGATTTCAAAGGTACCAAGGCATGCATGCACATGTAGCTTTTTTAATTTTACAATAGTTAGATAATATAAGATTGAGCATTGAGGGAATTTAGTACGTTCATGGTCAGACACAGAACAAGTAAGAGCAAGGTCCATGTGGAAACAGACTGTATATAGTTAGACACCGCGTAGCCACCGTTAACGTAACTTTGAACGCCGTTAAACGTTTCCAATCACTTGGAACATTGCCTGAGAAATTATTCGGAACGAACGTTATTTTCCGAACTTTAAAAGTTTTTATGAATATCGCAGCGATTCCATTAAAAGTTTTCGAATTTCATCTTCGTTCGTCGCGCTAGTCGCTAATTTACATATTATTGCCGACGTGCAATATGGAAAGCGTTTACGTAGCTTGAAATTAAATGAAACAATTACCACGTTATCGGTAGTAAAATTACGTCGAATTAATCGCGTGGTAATTGTCGACATACCTTGCATATTTATGACACTGATCGGTCGATACGAACTTGACCGATTACTAATATACGACAGGGGAGTAATTGGTTCGTTTATGCGTCGATTATATCGAAATAACGCCATCCGATCAATTAAACGTTGCCATTAATTAGCATCATTATTCCGCGAACGCGTGCATAGCATTTGTGGAGTGGTTACAAAAACTGTAATTTACTCTTTTCCTCTCTGTGTTGCGGATTTACTGTAAATATACTGTCAATCCTTCGAGATACACGATCTTTCACTCGATTCTAAACTTCGTTTATCCCATCGATCCGTTAACGTTGGTTTAAACGTAGCCACGATCGAAGGTTAGGTCGTTTCGCATTATCGACAGCTAATCCTTTTGCCACAAGTCGGCTTTAAAGTATACACTGCCGCTCAAAGGTTTTCGATCACTTGTTCAGAGTTACTTTTACGGTGGCTACGCGGTGTCTGACCATATATAGTCTTTTTCCACTTGGAGCTTGTTTTTGTCGATGCCTGACAATCCCAATTTCACAATTACAACATTTTTGACGGCCGTGTACACCGGATGACGCGAAAAAGGCCATCGACAGGATGATACTGACGTTCCATGCGTTTTTGTTTCTCAGAGCGTCGCAATGGGATTCCTGTCCGACATCAAAGACGACTCCATCACCGAGGGTATCCTGCGATCGATCGTGAGAATGTGCCAGTACATGCATTCCAGTGTGATAGACGCCAGCGATCTTTATCTAAAGGTAAAACGACGAATGGTCGGGTGATCAGAGAAAAAAAAATGATTCAATAAGTGTCCGATTAGATCACTTATCCCTAACCACAAAGCCCAATCGAACGTTTGTAGCTGTAAGAGTACCTGTCACAAAGAAAGTATCGATCTCAGGACCTACGTTAATTAAGCATTTTTTACTTCTCTCAATGAGTTCTACAACCCTCTGAGATCCTTTTTTTCTATCACCCTGTGTATATACGATAGTATCCACAATAGCTCTCGCGACCGCGCAAACAAAGTTCCAAGACCAACGAGAGAAAAAGAATCGAAGGCGAGCGACTCCCCTTTATTGACACCACACAAAGTAATTATTATCGTTTCGAAAAGCTTCCGTCTCTGGAACTGACTCCTGGCCGCCCGTTTAACGCCGGTGTCGGCTAAATAGAGTCGATCGAAAGCCCCTAAGTGGATCGCCGCGGAACAGAAACGAAGTCTTTGAAGTGAAACCGACCGTGTATAAGAATGGCCGTGGTTTCAATCCATCGCGTTTCACGTTGGCTCCAAGTTTTGCCGCTTCACGTTGTCGCGCGGAGAGTTATTTACTGCGACCAATAAATTAGAAACACGACAGGGTGAATTTAATGGAGCCAGCACGAAGATATATCGGGTCGCCGCGGGATCTCCGATGGATCCCTTCTTATGAGATTCGAGTACCATATTTAATACTCAACCGACTTCTCAGCGAGCTGCTGATGACAGTTTACGGGGTTTGTGGAGCTGCCAAAAATAAAAGACACGTGTATTTTTCATTTTTGTGATCCGTATAACTCATGCTGGGGTGAAATTATCGTAAGAAGTTTCGACCCTCGGGGATGCAAGAGGAATGGGGAGTATTTCGCGACAAATGTTTATGTGTTTTAGTTGGAAAATACGTGTAAAGTTGCAGGAAAGATTTTTGGACAAATGTGGTTGTTTCTGGATGAAAAATACGAATGGTGGGCGGGACGATAATAAATTATATTATTCTCGAGGGTTCGCGGGAGATTCGTGGACAAGCTTCTGTGTATGTCTGAAATCTGGTCACTTTTAATTAATGTCATGTCAAAAGAAATAACATCAAATAATTTTATCATTCATAAGAAGACATGTGTAATAACAAATTCGTGTAGGAAACTACCCATCACAGTCCTCCTCCCTTCAGCAGACAAATGGATTATGACGAATCCTGAACAAAGAAGTAGATTGTATCAGGCATTGGTCAGACACGTAGAATATGGTCGTATTTCATCGTGCAAAATTAATGTCGCATCAAATAGAATTGAATCTTTGATTATTTATCAAAGTAACTAAAATCCACCATACGTCTGATCCAACAATTGAAATGCACAATTTTTCTGATCCGACAAAGAGAATAATCTATCATTGTTCAGCCAAATTAAAAATACTGAACTATATTGTACAACAAGTTAATTTCTATGTAAAAATATTCATAACTTCCAAATTACAACACGATGCAAACAACTTTCGCATTTCTTACTAAATTTATTACTACGTTACCCTGGATTAAAAACTACGAAGCATTTGTCCCCCGAGCTCGTTCACATCCCCAGTCGTTTTCAAGATAATGCCTAAGGGTTGGAACTTTTAAAGGGTAACCTAATCCCTTAAGCTTGAATTACTGGGATCAGGAAGGGAAATACGGGAGCCTTATGTTTGGCTGCTCTAAAAAGCTGTTAAGTTTCATTAAAAGCGACGCCAAATGCGTCGTAGGAGTTCTTTGGAATAATGGGAGTTTTAATTGCTGATTAATAAACTGCCAACAATCTGATTTAGTATATTTTCTTTAGTTTATTATACTAACAAGCAAACTCTGAATGAATTTTCATGGTAGATACCTTCAGAACAAAATTAATTATTAAACAGACCCCTTTGTTATAAAAGTAAGATAATATTTACCAAGAACAGAATATTTCTCCATAAATGTCACCAATGGTTTCGTTGGTTCGCGGGACTGGAATACAGAAAGAACAAAGTCGGATTATCGCTATTAAACATGCATCGACGAAAAAGATTAATTTTGATTCCACCGAGCATTTCACTTGCGTTATACTTTTTTAATACCCGCATGCAATACGTGACAGTATGCAAAGAGAAACTAGGAGATAAATTCAGTATGTAGAAAGTGTCAGGACGAAAAGGCACGATATACGGTTCAACTGAAAAAAAGGTAAATCCTCTTGGAAAATGTTAAGTGAAAGGCTTACGAGGTTCAATTTAATCGCGGTTTTAATTTGCACGTTTCTATTTGATGTTCAGAGACATTTACGTTTAATACTTTTAATGACTTCAACTAGTGGAAGGTAAACTATTTAAATACTACAACTCCGACTGGATTTTTGAATGTTAAATCGTAGACAAGTATTTTATGGCTTTGAATAAAAAATACAGGCGACAAGAAGTGATAAATGGATGTGTTGAAGGTGTCAGATAGTTTGTTCTATAAATTGTATTGCTCTAACGACAGTTACGGTATCCTTAATGGAAGAAGTTTCGAGGAACCTAAACTCTGTAATTTTTATTGCGCAGGAATTGGATCGCCACAACTACGTTACTCCTACATCCTACCTGGAACTACTTTCCGGTTATGGGGATCTCTTAAGGAAGAAGAAAAACGAGTTACATTCAGCGGAGAGTCGACTGTCTACAGGTTCGAGACGAGAAATTAAATTTTTTTCTATTTCACTTAACTTGTAGTAGACGAAGGCAAACGACATCATCTCCTGACTCAACTTTCTTTACAAGATAATTGTATTTTTTCATCGATATACTTTTACTTACATTTCAGTATTTGCTATAAATATTTTGCTTCCGTATCCAATGAATCAAGCAATCATTGAATTTACTCTAACCATCGGAAATACGGTTGATCAATGTTTAATATCTATAAAATAAACTGGGTCAAAACGTAAAATGTATACATAAATTTTAACCAAATTGAAAATATTACTTTGAAAAGCGTTCAATTAATTTTTTTTATTTAGTTCAACTTATTTTTCTGTTGGTTACGAGACGAACTGGTTACGGTTTCATCTGTGAATTAAATTTTAAAAAATTGTGGATTATAAGTATGCTATGGCCCTTTGTGTTTTAATAAGTGTATCGCTCAGGATAGACTGTTTATACGTTCAGTAATTATTAAACTGAAAAAAAAAGTTGGCTGGAAAATATCGATCCAGAATGCCAAAGAGGTTCAAGGCGACCACGGCTCAAAGGTAAAGGACCTGGGTTGGCTCGTTATGGAGCTGATAACTTAATCAAAGATTCAGTAATACGAGTTGGCGATACGTGCCAGCGTTGGACTATCGATCTCCTCTGCTCGCCAGCTATATATATATAAATCTGAGATTGGGAACAGTGGAATCTGCGGAATTTGCGGAGACGTTCGAAAATGAAATAAAAATCTGCTGGAATAACAGAAACGCATTTATACCACGACTTTGATTAGCGCGATTTACGACTGCTGTCAAACTTTGACTATTGAGACATCACCCTTAAGCGATGCTAATTCTCTTTTATTAGCGTGACCCAGAAAATCAGAATTGTTTGTCCGTCTATACGCGAGCACTATTTATTACCGCGTTTCGTTGTCAAACCAAAGATAATTTCAATAATTAGAATGAATATTTTTGTGGAAAATGGCGACTACCTTTTCTAACAAGCAATTCAGCTAAATATTTGACAGAAATTTTCTTCGGTCTCGTCTAAACAACGCTGTGGGTTGCATGGTAAGAATATTTCACGATTTACCAAGAATGATTTGACTTAATAATTCAAAAAGCCCGTGTCTATTACAATCGTGACGTCCACTAGTGGAACGCTTTATTTTCCCGTAAATTCTCAGCCAGGCGTGTAAATGACGGAATTAAATTCCGCCCAGATGTTCCGTTCACTCTGTCGCATACGTAGAACGAGCAGTCTTTAAAAAGCGTTATTTAATTCCGATGACGACGGGAGCTTGGCGAAAAGTCGATCGGAAAATTGAATATACCTTGCCCCCTCTTGTACCTACAAACCAATCGATACGCTTTTAATCAAGGGGGAAAGCAAACTATTAAACAAGAAAGAAAAGATTGCCGTTTGGGAATTCTTTCTGAAGAGAATAAATAACTAATCTAAGTAATATGTAGCTACGTGTATTAAAAGTAGACACTTCAAAGGATGTTTATTGTCAAATATAGATTAACATATTAGGTGTAGAACTATTGTACACTCAATAGATTCTCTTCTCATTCGTAGGTTTAGACAAACTTGCGAGCGCGGAAGTCGAGGTGAAGCATATGCAAGAATTATTGGCGAACATGAAACCGCAGTTGGAGAAGGCAGCAGCTGCAACGGCCAAAATGATCGAAAGAATCACCCACGACACTGTTAGTATTGGCAGTTGAAAATAATGACAAATTACAAATAAGATAGATAATGGAAAAGGGCTGTTATTATGAATATAATACAATGAAATTAAATAACCATAATATTGGCCCTCTTTAAATTGAACGATAATTCACAGTCTTTTCGCGACTATAACTTAAACACTGTTCACCCCTGTTAGATCGAGGCAGAGGAGACGAGAGCACAGGCGAAGGAGCAAGAGGACGTGGCTGCCAAGATGAAAATAGCGAATCAAAAGATAAGGGACGAAGCAGAGGCAGACTTGAGTGCGTTTGTATTCCTTTTATGACCATAATTCTACATGTATGTTGAACGAAACAAATTTCGTGATTTCCTTTTTAAGTTTGTTAATCGAATTTTCCGATTTTAATATTTCAAAGCTACATTCGCATGCAATTCGTTTACTAATGGTCAGCAGTGTTTCCTATTACAAACACAAACACACACACAGACACACAGAGCGATTCTCGAATTCTCAGCAAATTCCACGTTACGCTATCATACGAGCATCCAGTATGGAGTTCCGCAGTCACGTTGTTAATCATACAATCGATATCCCATTTGCCGCAGGTCTGGCACGTCCGATGTTGATCGCTGCAGAGAAAAGCCTGAAAGCCCTCAATAGGAACGACATCACGGAAGTAAAAGCGATGAGAAGGCCGCCAGTAGGCGTTCTCTTGGTCATCGAAGCTATTTGTATCATAAACAACGTGAAACCGCACAGGGTTAGCTTGTCGATTGCTTCAATTTTCTGTCAACCACTATCAAAGTAATAAAAATCAAGCTTCTTACACGTGGAAATCCTACAATATTTCGCGCAGATAGAAAGTGGCAAATTCAGCACAGAAGTGAAATTAGATTATTGGACCCCTGGCAGTCTGATGCTCTCGGATCCAGGTCACTTTTTATACACGATGGAGAATTACGACAAAGAAAATCTCACGGAAGAAATGATTAATAAACTGAAGGTCTACATTGAAAACCCAGACTTTCAGCCAGCGAAGGTTTGCTTTACCGTTAAAAGCAATTTCTTCTGCCAACCCCGACGAGGGCTTGTATAATTCGATAAAAACATGATTGCATGCTGTCACAGCGTTTGTAATGTTTTTGTTGCGATAAAAAAAGAATCTCAAATGACTGAATAATCGTCGAGAACGACGCCTTTGCAGATCCAATACGTCTCGAAAGCCTGTCACTCGTTGTGTTTGTGGGTGCACGCCATGTACAACTACTACTTCGTGAACGAGAAAGTGAAACCGAAGATGGAGGCGTTAGCCAAAGCCGAGGAGGCGCTCGAAGAAACGGAAAAAGCCCTATTAGCCGCTGTAGAAAGGCTGCGACAAGTGGAGGAGGGTATCGAGAAGTTGAGAAACCTCCTTCGTCTGGAAGAAGAGAGAAAAGCGGAACTGGAGAGGCAAAAGCAGCTTTGCGAAGATAGAATGGCAAGGGCTGTCAGACTGATCGTCGGTCTGGCTGGGGAGCAAAAGCGTTGGATGTCGACCGTGGCTGACATAAATACTTCCTTGAAAAATGCTGTCGGTGATATCCTACTTGCTTCAGGTAGAAACTATTCTCTCGCTTCTCGAGACAAGTCCATATAAGTTACGGTAATTTTTCACCTACTTCAATCGTGACGCTCGGTCCTCGTAATAGAAAGTTCAACTTGTTCTACAGGTGCCATAGCTTACCTGACACCCTTCACTGACAAGTATCGAGTGACTCTCCTGTCGTCCTGGCATCAACTGCTGCAGGACGTGCCGCATACTCCAGGCAGCGATCCTGTGTCGACCCTGGGCGATCAGGTGGAAATAAGAAAATGGCAGATCGAGGGTTTGCCTAGGGATACGTTGTCCGTGGAAAACGCCGTTCTGGCGATGCACTCTAACCGCTGGCCTCTTTTTATCGATCCCCAAGCGCAGGCGAACAAGTGGATACGTTCACTGGTGAGTAAAACTTTTTTCTTGTAAATCTACGTAATTTGAGATGCGCTTGGGCTCCCTGCTTTGGATTGAATTTCTCCCAGAGTGAACCAGAGGATGCCGCACGACCTGGAACGATTCATTCCATTCCTTATCCTTTTAACTGTAATATCTGACTTTTTATATGTACTTAAAGAATCGCATGAAAGGTGTAAAAATGATGAAAAAATGAATTAACGTCATCATTTTCATACTTCGTTGATTATCTGCGCATTTTTATTGGCATTGACACACTTATTAGCGATGCCAATAACCTGTAAGTAATTCCATTAGTTAACGAAGACTCGTATATAGTAAATCTAATTTTCGCAAAGAGACGTCTCCCAAGATCCTCGAAGGTAACGTTTAAAGCAATTTAATTGCTTTGCCTTTTACTATAAGGGAGTAGATGAATATTCTTGCAATCGAGTTTGGCTGAAGTAATACCTCGCGCGTAGAAGGCTTGAAAGTTCCATCAAGCTTTATTCGTGTTTTGTACGATGACGGTCACCTGAGCCACGCTTTACGAGGGAAATCATTATCGTCGACGCTTCCTCACCCTAAGTCTCTCGTGATTTACAGCGCGTTTAACCGTGTTCCCGCGTAATTAAACTATGAAAATAAAGTAAGAGAAGCTCTCAAAATGAAAGGAGAACGCAAGGGAAATTAAAAAAGAAAAACAACGTGATAACTATAGGGTGCAAGTTTTTGTTATAAATTATACATACGTGTCTGATCAAAAATTCGATCATAATAAATATTGAAATTTCTAATGCTTCAACGGAGAACAGTATAAGGACAATGGGATATCTATCGCCAAGATGGCGGACAAGGACATCTTGCGCGTTTTGGAGTCCTGCGTGCGATTTGGAAGGGCCTGTCTCATAGAGAACGTTGGCTTGGAACTCGAGGCTGGCTTGGATCCCATATTGTTGCGATCGTTGTTCGAGCATGGTGGTCTGATGTGCGTTAAAATAGGAGAGAACATTGTCCCCTACAACTCGGACTTCCGTTTGTTCCTTACCACCAGACTCTCGAATCCTCACTATACGCCGGAAGTGTCCGTGAAAATACTGCTGGTGAACTTTGCGCTCACCACCACGTAAGCGCCAAATTTTTGGGGAAATTTTGCTCGTGTATACGAGAATGCGATACAAAAACTTCATTTATTTGGTAAAAGTGGCTTGGAGGATCAGATGCTGTCGTTGGTCGCAATTCAAGAACGACCGGACCTCGAGCAAACGAGGAACGCTCTAATCGTATCCAACGCTGAAATGAGAAGGGAATTGCAGGAAATAGAGGATAGAATACTTTATAGATTGTCGGTGTCGGAGGGCTCCGCTGTCGACGATATGGATCTCATTCTCACCCTGGAGGCGTCCAAAGTTAAAAGCGAGGAGATCAAGGTACGTGAAAGAAAAGAAAATACAGTGATGTGGTCGTACTTTGTACATTTTTTCATTTTGCGCTTTCATAGTGACGCATAACTTGTATATGCTTAAGGTGAAAATGCAAGAGGCAGAGATCATTCAGGCGGACATCGAAACAACCAGATCGCTGTACATACCCGTCGCGATCAGAGGGCGAATACTTTTCTTCTGTCTCTCTGATCTACAGTACGTCGATACGATGTACCAATACTCTTTGGAATGGTTCGTCGAAATCTTCAACAACAGCATAATCGCCACGGAAAAAAGCGGTAAGCACCACGTTATTATGTAGAAACCGAATAATACTAGAATAATAACCGAGTAACAGTATCGTGACAGTTTTAGGAGCCCTGCGCGTCACTAGTAATAAATTTTGATAAAACTTCTCAGACCGACGGGGTATCGGGAAAATATTATGGAATGTGGATTCCTTTTGCGACAGACATTAACGTTTTTATCGCTAGGCCACCCACGACTGCATTTCTCGCCCTGAATGAAAGAAGAGCGAGAGAGGCGATAGCAGAGCGACAGAAGCCAAAATTTAGAAGAAATTTTTCTGCTCTGATAGTTTCCGACACACCATGCAATTTTATTGGACGAATGGCTACAAAAATTTATTAAGACTAGATTCATAGTCGGGTCTCTTACTAATTACATAATCGATTACATTTTCCAGCGGACATCGCGAGCAGGGTCGCAGGTATTAATCGCAAGTTCATGTTCTCCCTCTTCTCGAACGTTTGTCGCAGCCTGTTCGAGAAGCACAAGTTGCATTTTGCGTTTCTTGTATGCGCACGGATACAAATGAACGACGAGTCGATCAACCTGATGGAATGGAGGCATTTTTTGGCTGGCCCAGAACCATTACACGTAAGATCAATTTCACTGAAGAACTAAAAAAAATTCATTCTAAAAGCCAAGTACCAAGGAAAATTAATTTGAATTATTTAATTAATTAATTAGAATTAATTCTGAAAGATCAAAACTTGTTATGCATTGAAATTAATAGAATTGGTATGTGCCAGGCGGAGCAGAAAAATGTTTGCCATAGTGTCGATTCATTCGATGCAATTTGGTCCGTTTCCCCAAATTTTCACAGGTGCATCATTCCACCAATCGTCACTCTAGTGTGTCAAAGGAAAATTGATGCAAATGAATTCACCATTAAATGAAAGTCTAAACACCAACGCTTTTAATGATTCCGTGTATTTAATGTGAATCAAAAACAAAATATCGTGTTGGATTTTAGAAAGAAAATTCCACGTGTTTGATCGAGATCAAAAAGAATTTAAAAAAAAAAAAGAGATTTGAACGAGTAAATACAATAAAACGATCCCACGTGCCCGAATCAAATTCAAAAAGAGATACGAAGTTTGGTAAAAATAAAGTGGAAAAACTACGTGAAAAATGTCACCACGCTTCTCCTCGTCAAAGAAAATGTTCACACTTAGTTTTATCCGACGTGAAAATTTAAACTCTATGAAATTAAAAATTGCACATACTCGCTGTAAATTGAAAGAGAATACCACACCGAATTTTAGAGGAAAATGCTTTATACGAATAAATTCTCTAAAAATATTTCACCTTTTTCCCCCCCTCATTTATCACGAATAACTACCGAAAGTGAGAATTTCCATTCAGCGAGAAGAGAAAAAACAGACAAAAACCGCGTAGAATTTCACACAGGTCGTATTGCTTTCAACGAATAAATCCGTTCCGAGTTGCAAACTCGAAAGCCTCGAATTCGATCGTGAAGGATCGAGGGATTTGAAATGAAAGCGAACGATGGAATAGTTCTCCTCGTTCTTGGTGAAGAGAATTTTCGATTCACGGAATTGATAAGCGGTGGCAGGTGCGATATGGTTTCCCAACGATTCGAGTTTCGAGTTTTTTCGCTTCTGTGCCGCAGGACAGACCGAATCCCTCCCCAGGATGGATTACCCCGCGATGCTGGAAGGAGATACAGGCGCTGGAGAGCCTTCCTAAGTTTGCCAACTTCGTAGAGTCCTTTCAGCGGTCGCTGACCGAGTTCAAAGCAGTCTTCGACGCTCAAGAGGCGCATCTGTGAGTAAAATCGTGTCGCTTGATCCCTTTACAACCCAAATCGATGTATCAGGTCGTTGCGTAATTTTTTATATGATTTATTACCCGCATTCAAGTAGGTTTTTGGTGATTTGAATAATCAATTCATTAAATTACATTATTATATAATTACATAATCGTTAATTAGATAACATATTGCCTGTCACTGGACTGATAGACACGGAATTGAGTTCTCTGCATTTGGATAAATAGAAATACTGGTCAACCGTGTCCGCGTTAGTAGAATAGGATCGCATATGATCAGACCAGCGAGCAGCGCTCGTGCACAGTGTCCATTCGAGTAGAATGGTGCTCGTTCATCGTCAGACGAAAGCCATAGTGCTGCCTCGCAGTCGCACAAATCGCACTAGTAATGCACAAAGTTTTATCGTAATAAAAAGAAGGTATCATGATTTATACAACGTGGACACGATAGAATAGTTCTTCGATTCATTGGATATGAATTGTATCATTCTAAAGGGCTTTGCAATATACTTTACAATATCGGAAACACATCGAAACGACCATTTTTAGGGTCAACGAGTGTCAACGAATACAAACAAAAAATTATTAATAAATTTCGTTTCACTTAGAGCCCCGTTCCCAGCGCCATGGGACACCAAGCTAGACGACTTTCAGAAGATGTTGATCCTGAAATGTCTTCGACCTGACAAAGTGACTAACGCGATGCAGCTCTATCTGTCCAAGCACTTGGGCCGAGAGTTCGTCGAGCCACAAACCACGGAATTATCCGCGGTTTATAACGAATCTTCACCAACCACACCGATAGTTTTCATCTTATCCACCGGCACAGATCCAGCCGCTGAACTGTACAAATTCGCGGACAGGTTGAAAATGGGCACGAAGCTTCACGCCATATCTCTGGGACAGGGCCAAGGACCCAGAGCCGAAGCCATGTTGAAAATGTCAGCCGAACAGGGATTTTGGTGTTTCTTTCAGGTGAATAAACGACCTACTGACGAGATGGAATTATTTTCAGGTGTCTACAAGATTAAAATCGAATATATCTTCGCAGAATTGTCACTTGGCGCCAAGTTGGATGCCAGAACTAGATACACTAGTCGAAGTTTTGTCGAGAGGGAAAAGTCATCGCGATTTCCGCTTATGGTTGACCTCGGCACCATCGCCGGATTTCCCTGTCAGCATACTTCAAAACAGCACTAAAATGACAATCGAACCCCCTCGAGGCATAAAGGTAATTTCTGATGTTTTTAATAAATAAATACCATGATTAACAGTAAACATTTTTCCTTGTTCAGGCAAACATGTTTCGAGCATACCTGACGCAAGTGATCGAAATGCAAAGCTTCCTCGAGTCCGACCATGAGAAAACCCCGCAATTCAAATGGCTGGTGTTTTCCCTAAGTTTGTTCCACTCTGTTCTCCTCGAAAGGAGAAAATTCGGGCCTTTGGGTTTTAATATCCCGTACGAGTTCACAGACGGCGACTTGACCATATGCATATCGCAACTTCACATGTTTCTTTTGGAATACGAGACTGTGCCATTTAAAGTACGTCGTTTCTTTAAATTCTTATAAGAAAAGTGTACATTAACTCCAATCGCGATTGTAACGTTCAACTATTCCGCCAAGGTGCTGATATACACGGCTGGTCACATCAATTATGGCGGACGAATAACTGATGACTGGGATCGCCGATGCGTTTTGACCATCCTCGAGGACTTCTACAAACCGGAAATCCTCTCCGAATCCTACACATTCGACGAAGAGGGACACTACTATCAAGTAATGCTCATACACCTTCAAAATTGTATAATAATCGAAATCATTTCTTCTTCGATCTCTCATGCTTTTATATACTTCAGTTAGCAAGCACGGCAACGTTCGACGAGTACATCGCCCTTATAAAAACATTCCCTTTGAACGACGACCCTTCGATGTTCGGGATGCATCCGAACGCTGACATAAGTTGCGCACAGGCAGAGACTTATGCTTGTCTCGATACTCTTCTTGCTCTTCAACCACGTGAAGTCGGAATTGCAGCAGCGAGTACCGAAGAAGTCACTACTCAATTGGCCCAGGACATGTTAGCGGAGATACCACTAACATTCAACTTAGCTGCTATGCAAGCAAGGTACGTCACAGATTTAAATGAAACGTACGAATGTAAGGCATATTGAAATATACAAAGAACGATTTCTTTTTCTCATACACCCTTCGTAGTGAAAAGCGTAATAATTGCATGTTTCGACTCGAGACACTGACTATAGTTAAACATTTTAGGTACCCTGTCTTGTATGAAGAGTCATTTAACACTGTGCTGCTACAAGAAGCCATACGTTATAATGGCTTGCTGGAAGTGGTAAAGACAACATTGGTGGACCTCTTGAAAGCCTTGAAGGGGCTGGTCGTAATGTCCCAGCAACTGGAAACTGTGGCGAATAGCTTGTACAACAATAGAATTCCAAAAGTTTGGCAGGATAAGGGTTACCCTTCCCTGAAACCTCTCGGTAACTTTACCACTTCCTCTTTCATTCGTACTTGAATAACTCTTTCACTCAATGCTCGAATGTTCGATGTATATTTATTATTTCATACTAACGGATTTATATTAAATTATGAAATACCAATGCAGGTGCTTGGTTCTTTGACTTGAAGGATCGAATCGCATTTTTAAGGTCTTGGGAAGCTCGCGGTATACCCGCGGCTTTCTGGATTTCCGGTTTCTACTTTCCACAAGCTTTTTTAACCGGAACATTGCAGAACTTCGCACGAAATCATGTTATTTCCATCGACACTATTGATTTCAGTTTCCAGGTATTCCTTAATTAACATATATTCTCAAACTTCGTGAACCTCAATGCCAACAGACATCTACACAGTCATTTTTAATATCGTAGGTATTAAGTGCAATGCCCCAACACAGGCCAAAAGATGGATGTGTTGTTTACGGTTTGTTCCTAGAAGGATGTCGATGGGATAAACATTACTTGAACGAGTCCCTTCCGAAGGAGTTGTACACTAGTAAATATTACTACAGGGAACATGTTAATGATCGAAAAAATCTTCCAGATCATTCACAAGTAATTTTTCTTTCATAGACATGCCTCCGATTTTACTTCTACCGGAAGTCCACCATCGAACGCCCGTAGGAATTTACTCTTGTCCTGTTTACAAAACTATTAATAGGGCAGGAACATTAAGTACAACCGGACACTCTACAAATTTCGTTTTGGCGATGGAAATTCCTAGCAGGAAACCTCAAGCTCATTGGATCAAAAGAGGCGTTGCCATGTTTTGTGCTTTGGATTATTAAGACCTTCTAGATATTATTTCTTTTACTTGTCACACATTTGAAATAAAATTAAACCACTCGTTACGGTAATGGTATCTATTATAAAGCTACGATCGACTTCCACTATTGTTTCCAAGAAGTGGAGTGAAAATTATTCTATTCTTGAGATTAATAGATATACACAGACACCGATAGAAGTATTAATATTAAACACATATTTAAGAGAATTGCACTTTAATAAATTGAAACCATTTTCAAATGAGTAAGGAACAGCGTGACTTGGAATTCCTAAAACTATTTTACGTATCGTTTTCATATAATTTTGGGTTCTTCCTTTTCGATCTCTTGTGCTCCGCGGTGCTCCATTTGATAACCCACACCCCAAATATCACAGCTACGAAAAGACATTAACCGATCACAAGGGGATCAATTTACAAAATGTGCAAAGGTATAAAAGTCTCTTCGTCTATTGAATATATTTATGATGTGATTAAAGAGTGATTTTGATCTTGATCTTGGTTCATCGTACCTGGTGCCATTGATGGAAGAGCTCGAATTGCTCGTTTGATCATATTTGGGAAACCGTGCGATACCGATTTCGCCCAAAATCTTTGTTCCATGGAAGATAACGTGTAATACGCGACTCTTCTAATTCGAATAGGCAGCTGTCCTAATTCTAAACCCATAACGAATGCTAGTTTTTTGAATTCTCGAGATCTACGAACCTTGAATATCTCCAAATGTTAACGAATCTCGTAAACAAAGAAACGCGTACAAATCGATCTTGTCATTGTTTTCAAATTTGAAGTATGTAGATTAAAAGAAAATGTTTTCTTTGGCTCTGCTGAATACTATTGTAGATAAATGTCCACAGTGGAAAGAATAAACTTCTTTCGCTTCACTTTATTCCATATAAACTTCGTTTATATAATTACGATTAATAAAAGGACATGTTTTATGTTGTCATAAATATTTATTCTAGCAAAATACATAGAATTCTACAAATTAATGGTAGCATTGTATACATTAGATGTACACGAAAAATGTACAAAGATGGTGGTGGAAGTTTCAAAGGTGTTCTTTATTTAGAAATTGTTTCCTAATCTTAAAAACTATGATTGCCAGCAGGCATATGTTCGAGGACTTTCGACGGAATAACAAATTTTTCGGGATTCTGTTCTAATAAACATCCGAGAAGACGCGGTACAGACAACACGGTACCAGATATTATGGAAGGAAAATTTCTTCCAGCCGATGTCTGATACGCTATCAGTAGTCTTTTGCTAAAGTAGTCACCGCAGATAGAGATATGACCAACCTCTACGTATTGCTGGGAAAACGAAGACCACAATTCGAAAGACACGCGCATCGTTTCCCAAGGTCGCAGTTCGGATGCAGGTCTCACGACAATCTGATAATGACTGCATATGTTGTCGTAGAGTTGACAAACAACATTTAGTAGTCTTTCGAACTGGGTACGATACTCTGCGCTATTCGTATCTTTGACTAATGCAAACACATGCGCGGCTGATGTTTGGCATACGGTGAACAAACCGATTGGCGCGGTACCGGATGGAAAAGGAGTGTACTGTTTTCCCGTGGAAAAGTATTTGATCGGAAAATGGTTTGGGTCTATCAGTTGTTTCGCGTGCATGGCTAGAAATGCAATTAAACTAGCACCTCCGACGAGGTGCATACGATTTGGGGAGTTGTTCTCTACTTCATTATGATTATCTATTACGAAAGCTTGTAACGGATCCTCGTGATTCAAACCTGAACCTTCTACGACCAAGCTACGGCTGAAATCCGAGCCTATTACTCTAATCATATCATCTGCACTAAATATCGTCCCTGCATAATTTAATACGCCGATTTCAAAGAGAGCCGCGTCATTGCATAAGTAATATTGCATAGGATTTTTATATTCCAATAAACCGAGACTCCTTCCAATTTCGATGTGATTTTTCTTTTTTCCTGTGGCCGAAAATTCGTGCAACGCACCCGCACGTCTTAATATTTCGGGAGAATGAAGCGGAGTCTTTTCGTCTATTTCATTTGGTAATTTCAACATTCTTTCTACGACACTTTCGCTTAAATCCCATATGGTTTCTTTAATGTTTCTTAACTCTGCTTTCAACGCTTGACACTGGAGAGTTAATTTCTGAAATTCTGCGACTTCGTCGCTGGTTAAATGATCATTGGTATGGTATTTTCTCAATTTACTTTTTATGTCATCAGCTTTCTTTTCTACTCTAGATTTAACAGAGTCTAGCGACTTGTAAAATTCCCACATTTTCTTTACATCTTCGGCATTCACGTTCAGTCCTCGTGATGTCAAATCTCTTTGTAATTTGTCAATGTCTGTTAATTTATTATCGAAATCCAAATATGGCGATATAAATGAAAAGCATTCCGTGGCTTTTCTGCCCGAAATATATAACGCAGAACTGTATAGTCTATAAAAATTTAATGGCACACTGGCATGTCTCACAGTAGCATGCTTTACAACACTGTGAATAATACACGTTCGAAAAAAATGTGGTAAACAACTTGCCATTGTTAATATGTAGTAAATCACCGAAGGATTTAAAAAATATTTTCACGACACATAGACAATTAATTGAATCTAAACAAGTATCACTTTGTCCACAAATTTATTCTTACACATCTGTTTTAGCCATTTTAGCTTGAGGCAACAATTCTGACTCTGTGTCCATTTTAAAACTATCACGAGTTATAGTTTCAATTTTGCGTTTTTGTGGGCTAATATAACTTCCTTTTCCAGCAGCTCTTTCAGATTCCTCTATACTGTATGGTTCCTGTTCAAGAGCTTTTAATCTACGTTTATGCACTTTTGTTGATAAATGATCCTGTAAAGCTGTGTCATTTATAAAATACCTCCTGTAATACCAAGAAATAATTTTTTGATTCGTTTGGCTGTTCTAACAAAATTCTAATTTTATTCAGTTGGGCTATGCACAAACATTTATTACAAAAAAAATCGATAACGTGTGAGAAGCATTTGAAGGTTAATTAACTGATAGAAACACGAATAGTGTAAGTACTTACGCGCAATGTATACAATAATATTGAGCCGCTCCTGGTTTCTCTAAATCCACTTCTTGATTTAGCAAATTTTTAACATTTTCGTCTTTCAAATCCTCGTCAATCTATATTAAAAATAATACAATAATAACTGACGATCGTCAAAAGCACATTATCCACGTGACATGCTCGAAAATTAGGTTAGGTAACCTCACCTGGTCTAAATCTTTCGCTCTTCTTCTTGTTCTCCAACCCTTTTTTAAATGAGTGTCTCCATGGTGATATTTTTTGCGTTTGTACGTCATTTTTAATAAGAAAATTAAATATTCTAACGAAATCAAATCAATGACATTGTCACAGCACTATTTAAATGAGTAATTTAAAAACAGTGGCGCCATCGGTGGGAAAACACCCAAGTTTGTAGTGAAAGTAGTTCCTACCCTTGTCGCTAGATGGCGAGTGGTTTAGTTACTGTGGCGCCATCGATGGGAAAACTTCCAAGCTTGTAGTAACAATAGTTCCCATTGATTCTATTAGATGGCGCCGTTAACTAAACGATCGATAACTAACCCTACAATGAGTAACAATTCATAAAACTGATAAATTTGGCATAATCACATATGCTCTTCCTCTTTTTGACATTTTTAGTGAATGATTATAGATCACAGTTCAAGTATGAACAATAAATTATTATCAATATTCATGATGTGGTGGACGCACTCATCATCGTCGATAAGAAGATTTATGAAGACCGTCGATAAAGAAGAATTAACTGTTAACTCGATGATACTCGATGTTATTCATTTGATTGTCTTTTGTGAAACATAATTTAATTTTGTTTGCCTTTCAAATATTTAAACACACTTTCTGTCAATCCATTAAGCAAGAGAGATCGTTTAAAAATAAATACCAGAAATTGTTATTCAATCAAAACTTTTATTAAGTCTACATTAAAATATAATATGGGTAAACCTTCCCCATAATGAAGATGTCGGTGGCTCCATCGTAGTGCGACAATCCGAACTATTGTTCCCATGAACTTGGGCATTTTACCACCGATGGCGCTACTGATATTAAGAGAGTATATATAGATATACAGCGTATACTTCTATATAGACTAGGGCGCCGGCGCCATTGGGAGCCATTTTGCTTCTCTTGCTATTCTGTGGTGCTCTGTTTTTCGTGGTATCGTGTTGAATTCGTATTATAGGCCCGGTCGACTGGATTATTACGTCTCTTTCGAGATTAACATTTCACCCAAAGAAGAAACATGTTCGCAGTTCAGAACGTAATTAGGAAAACTTCGCAATTAGGAAAGCTTGTTCTGAATCAACGCAGAACGATCGTTGCTACACCTCCGAGATGTAAAGTACCGAAAGCCGTGAGTATTATTTTCGTTGAACGTAGTTACGTACTTAGATGGTTATACAATATATACAGAAATGTATAACACAGTTTCCCTTTTAACTATTTAAATAATATTTCGACCAACTTTAATCCCCTAGTATGGCGCATATTTTTGTTATGTAATGTTTCCAATTTATATGTGTGTGAGAAATATGTGATTTTGTTAAAGTGATATATGCAGTGTGTATGAAGAATAAGTGAAAAATCAAGTTTGCAAAGTTGTACAATACGAATGAGCTATCGAGGCATGTATGACTGATAGAAACTGGTGAATGTTAAACTTGTAAAAGTGCTTCTTCTCAGCAATCACTGACAATATTTTTGTCGTAGGAGCGGTTGGCACTTGGAGCATTTTTGTGGGTAGGTGTGATGACAGTGCCCTTATACATTGCGTGTCACGTAAGGGACTATAATGGAACCAGATATCAAACGGATTCAGATTAGATGTATTAGATGTATGCTTAGAATTAATCTCTTGCAGTAGGAACTGTTTAGTGATACAAAAGGAAATGGGAGGAATATCTCCTCCAGAAAATATCTAAACAATGTATTAAAATGTAAAGTTTGGAACACCGAATTAAATAGAATTAATTATATAAATCGTATTATGTAAATCCTTTTAAACCTATTATATGAGGGAAATATTTAAAGATTATACAGTACAAGAGTAAATAAAGGAATAACGAATTTGTGATATAAGATTCAAAGTTAATCTTTATTTATGCTATTTAATTAAAAAATATACCGTGTATCTGTACACAAACATTTGCACATCGTGCGAATTGTAATT